TTGTTTAGTTTTGGTTTTCAGAACTTAGATTAATTAAAACCGAAGGAAGGATATTTACTTATCCAACCATAGTTATTAGTTTGAAGCGTCTGGTTCTATTATAACTGAAGTATAGATGCTTATATTAGCATTTTTTTATATTTAAAAATATGATTTAACAGAAGGAGTTCGAAACTAAAATCCTTTGAATTTTATAAGTTTACTATTATTGTTTTAAAATCGTAATAATTAAAAATGCACATCAATGACACATTTTTTTAAAGCCATGCAACCGTAAATTTGTTAAATTTTCCGATGAGAATTAAAAATAAAAATCTTTTTCATGAAAATAATTATTCGTAGTATTTATTATGAACTTGATTGTATTATCTATTAATTTCCGATCTTTATTAATGCCTTTGCACAAATAATTATTCAAATTATTATAATATATATATATATATATATCAGTACTTTAGAACTACAGTTTCTCAGCTTTTAGATTTTTTAAATCAAATTTTATTGCAGTTTAAATTGATGGAAAGTGATTTCGATGACGCTCAAAAATTTCCTTTAACGTTCATTGCATAAAAATAAAGATGTTTATAAAAAAAAAACTAATAACTGCTTTACTATGTAAATCTTTTTCAAAAACTGTCGATTGTAGAATTGCATTGGCATAATTTTGTGAGAATAAAATTAATAGAGAATCTAAAATTCCACAACGCTTTAAATACTGATTGAGTGACTGATTACCAAAAAATAGTGTCAAATAGATTAAATATCCATCATCAGTTTACTTGTGAAAATGAAATGAAAAGGATTAAAAGCATACGTAGAATTTTCTTTCGCCGTCTCCACCCGTACAACAGTCGAGTCCGGCTGCGAGAGTAATCACCACCAAAGTTTAGTTAATATCCCGAGTAAAAAGCATCTTCCCAATAAAGTTTTTTCTTTCTTTTTTATGTTGATTTCTTATTCAAATAAAAATCCTTGCATAAAAAAAAATCGTTTTACCGGTATACTGAAAACAGGACTGAGTGATAGATTTTATTCGAGATTTGAATATTCTGATCTTCCGACACGAAATAACGGTCCACGAATGATCTGCTTCGACCATGCTAAAAATTTTTTTTTTGATTATATACAATGTGTTCATCTGAAAGCCAATTTCAAGATATTTTAAATTTGCACAGGTGAAAAAGAAATCACTGGAACATATCATACGGCTTTTTAGGGAAAAATTTAAAAATCCACTTTAATCGGTTAAAAAACTTATGAACTCCTCCACCCCCCCCCAATGGTGCAGTGGCTTATGAAATTAAATATTTTCTGCTTTGTGATCCATGGTGAGGATCAAAAGATTAACTACCACTCCTCTAGATAACCGAATAGAGGTTGAAACTTCGATTGCAAGATCTCACCCCCATGCAAGACAGTTAATAAAAAAAGTAGTAAAATGACACATTATTGCTTCTACAGCCAGAGGTAAAAATTTTACCTCTTTTGTAAAAAATAACCTTAAGGTAGAAACAAGTTGAAAGAGTCTAAAAGAGAGATAAATTTGCTTAACAGCACAATCAAGGATGCAAATTATCACCACGTCTGGATGGCTTGAGGCAAAATCGAGCGCTCAAAATCAAAATCCGGCATTCCAAAATAATTTAAACAAGTAATGGCATATTATTTTTCAAAAAAATTAGACCGTCTTTTTAAAGGCTGAACTTCTCGAATTATATATTCAATAAAACCAAATACAAACTTTAAATGTTATGAAATACATTTAATTTCGCTAGCGGTGATGATTTCATCAAAAGAATACGATATTTTAATCCGATTCTCCCAAAGAATTCGGAATTTTAATCCACGCAACTTTTTACAAATTAGAGGATTTCTATTGCATTAAAATCATATTAGCCTTTTTTTCTTCTTATTTATTTGAACCGGGGATTAGCGCCTAAGGCTAGCCCAAGTCAACCCAAAACTTCAGTCATGCGTTTTCCATAATATTCGATGTGAGGAAAATGATTGTTAAGATGCATTGTGTTCCATAAATGGATTCTATTTTAAATGCATACGCTTCGTATAGAAAAAGGTCAAAGTCGAAATTGCGAAAATATCATGTTTTCTTCAAGAAACCATTTTGTATATCTGATAAGAAATAAATGGCTTTACATAATGGAGCACTTTATTTGACTTCTTATAACTGTTAAGATACATGCATTTATTAAACAGAAAAAATTGGACAAATAACAAGATGATTTATGTACAGAACAGATACCAAAACTGTATAAATTATTTTACAGAATTACACAAACTTTCAAAGTTACATAAATTATTTTTCAAAATTGTTTAATCAAACTTTTGGGTCATTAGAAATAAAGGAAACTTTAGGAATTTAGAATATATCTGTATGCTTTATAATATATTAAAATATATTCAATGTACTATGACAGTGAAAAAATTTTTTAATAAATTTTTTTTTTCATGTTAAATTGCAAAAACTGCTTTGAATTGTCTTAGCTTAACATAATATCCATTTTACAATTAATTATATCATTAAAATCCTGTAATTGAAAATAATTAGAATTCAATTAATAAATTTGCAAAAATGGAAGTTGTCTGTTAATTTTGCACAATTTATTTTTTCAACTATTAACACATTGTCTGGGTATTGTTTTTACACGGAAATCGTCTAACCAATTGATCTAATTGGCTAGACGATTTTCTAGTAAAAATAATAATTATTAATAAATTATTATTGTTACATATAAACATATAAATAAAAAAGGTTGTACGAATAAATAGTGTTTTATTTTTTGGCGGTTAGTTTTCTGAACGATTTTTTTAAAAAAATTCACTTTATGTTTTGTTGAATTTTTGGTGGAAAAATATAATTATTAAAGCACTTCAAATATGCATTGCGATCCTAGTAGCTTCTTTATTTATAGATTTCTACATGGGCTTGCGCTGGACAAGAAGATCATATGGTGTGAAACTAATAAATTTTTCATTAAAAATATGTAATACAATGTTTTAAAATATTTAAAAAATGTATATGCAAAGTTCAATTGTACCCACATTTCTGCCTTTTAGTGAGACAAATTCAGCATAACAACTTGTCTTGAAAGTCTAAAAATTCCGTTCATCTAAGCATCTACTGATTATTCAACACTGTTTCACTAATACACCACATTATCTGGCTATTCTACAGTTAAAATAACTTATTTTTAAGTGATATATTTTACGTGCAATGCGGAATATGACACAAATCTTTAACATTGATGGTAACGAATAAAGGAAAAAAGATACTATAGAATCATTACAGACATAAAACACCAGGAGAACCTATACACTTACTGATTTAAAGGCACTTAGATTTTTAAGTTCACGTATCACACCTTAAAGTACATGCGTACAGTGTAAGTACACATCTTCATATATTTCAAGTTCTTCAATATCAAAGACCACTTATATGGTGATTGTTCACAATTGTTCGTGTTTTTACTATGAGCATTTTTAAATTATGTTTTTTTTCTCCAGCTACCTACCATACCAGGCTGTAGGAGGCCTTCGAATCACCATAGGATTCATATAGCTAGCGGCAGCAGGAAGCCGCCTATATGGTATCGCATAAATAGGAGGACCGTACTGAGTGGGTGCTGCCATAGCAACAGGCATTCGTTGTCGTACTGCGACGTATGGATATCTGCCTTTTACGAAATACGCTGGATGGGCCGCTGCAGGCATCATACCCATTGGTGCAGGGCGTCTATAGGCCATGTAACCTGGGTGCTGATAGGGTGAGGCTGCTTGAGGCGATGCTGGGCTATATACACCAGAGTCTTGGAAGAAAATTTGTTGTATAGCCGATGAGGATCCTGAATGATGTCCGCGGGAATCATCATGATCATGACTGTCATATTGACTTTGACCGTTGCTGTAACTTCCACCAGAGTCAAAGTTACTGATTCCACCATTGTGACTTTCGGAGTCACCGCCTAGAGATGAACCAGAACCCGCATTGATGTGTATAATACGAGTTGTGTGATGAGGTATTCTGAAATGTAAATATGTTAGCAACATTTTAAAGAAAACGCAGTAAAGTTTATACGAAAAAATTTGCGAGCATTTTTATTAAAGAAAATTGGTTGTCATTGTTTTGTTGTTCTTCTACCATATGTGTGATATTATTTCGAGATGATTTGAGTATATTTTGTTGAATATAAACGAGAAAATTAGATATATATGTTACCGTCAATATCAGAAAAATCGACGTTCTATAGAGTGCCTAGGCATAGTATAAGTTGCTGAGGACCGGTGTGTAACTTGGAGTTTGATGTGTTACTTTTTAAAAAATTCAATTTCAGTTAAGCTTTGTTTTTCAGGAATTTGAAAAGAAAATGCCTTTTGAAATTTTTAGTTATTTATAAAAATAATTACATTTAAAACAAAAAATACGATCAAGCATCTACGTCAACAAAGACATCAAACATAAAATTGTAAATATTAAGTAATACTAAGAACTATGAAACATTCTAGTTCTAAAAATCGAAAGAAAAATCTGAATTTTTCGTAAGTATAACTATTTATTTATACTAATTGGTTGACTAAAACTATTTGGTTGGAAAAAATTATATTTTTGCGAACCTAACAATGCCATTAAACTTTCTGTTTTATAGATGGTTATAGACAATTAGTTAGAAAAATCAAGCATTTGTGTAAAAACAAAACTTACGTAGTTCATGTAAAAATAATAAGGATTGAATAAATACAAGTGCAAATGATGATGATTGCTGCAAATAACGTTACTAAAAACAAATAAAGGTGTCTTTAACAAAGCAAAAAACTGTTGAAACATAAATCTTATGTCTAGAACTAAGTATTTAATTCTAATTAAAATAATTACATATATAGTAAGCTATACGAAAAGTAAAGCTTAAAGTTTATAATGGTATTAAAATTTGAATTAAAATTTTTATAAAAACTTAATTTTAAATAAATGAACAAAATGAAAAAATTGGGATTTCATAATTACAGTACGCAATCTTTTTCAAAGTTTCTCTCACTCTTTTTTTTCTTCTTTTATTTATTTTTTAATTTTTAACTAAGTTAGTTTCTTGCATTAAAAAGATTTTTACCTTGTTATTTTGTTGTTCATTTATTAAAAACAACATAAAATAGACAATTCTTTAGCAGGGAAAAATTCTTTCAAAAATTAATTAACTTACGGTATGGGTATGATCTTCTCAGTCACGTGATGACTATGCCTCTGAGATTCTGATCCATGATGGTGGTGTCCGTGATGATGTACTGGTACGTGAATGGGTACAGGAACATACTCATGGCCCCCGTGATGGCCACCCTCTTGCTTCTGTAAGACTTTGGCTACAATACCGGCCGTGAGCAACTCTATCAGCTTGTTGTTGTTATGGTGACGGCCAGCTTCACAATATCCAAGCAAAAGTAGTATTGAAATCAAAAGGAGAGCTATTAATTTCGTCATCTGAAATCAAAATAATTAAAAATGATTTAGTATACACTTTTTGGCAAATGAGATACTTTTTCAGTTTTATTTAATAAAAAAGGTTTTATTCTATGGTGTCATTTTGATATTCTTTGTTTGAGGTTCATACAGTTAGAGATCAATGGGTAACTGCGTGTCCGTCGTAATGTTAACGATACAGCCATAACTAGGCCTACGCGGAATTATCTAGCTTTAACTTCGATGATTCTCCTGATTCACAACGGGCTGTTGCGGGAATGCTTAGCTTTGTTGCGAATAATAAGGCCAAGTAGAGCCATGATGGCTCAGAGAATATAGCGTTTGCCTTCCAATGAGATAAACCGGATTCGAATCCCAGGGTTAGCTGCAGGATACGAATTCCGAATCCAGCTTGCGCCGACCACAGTGCTGACATACAGTATCCTTAGTGGTAGACGGATCATAGGTCAGAGTCCCCTTGCCGTAAAGCTAATCATGGGAGGTATTCGTGGTTTTCTTCTCCATGTTACGCAAATGCGGGGAGTTGCCTCAAAAGTCCTCCACGAAGCCAAATTTCTCTCAATACCTTGCCCAGGTAGGTGTTCTTTTGTGTTCTGAATTGGGTTCAAAATTACAAAGCTACGGAGTTGAATATTACTAGTCGTAAACCTAAAAAATTGGGTCAGCTGTTCAACGACGGTTATAAAATATAAAATAAAATAGCATATATATGTAATGATACTCAAGTTATGGCTCGAATGCTTGAGATAGGAGAACAGCACGTGATGGAATAAGTTTTTTTTATCTTATCTCTCGAAAGAGATGGAAATAATTTTAATACTTCTGCTGCCTATACTGTGCTGAAATGTCCCGAACTCACATATATGGTGGTTTGTGCGGTTTAGTGAACGCCAGATAGACTTTAAATTTTTATTAAAATTCAATACATACTGAACTTTGATATCACGGATATTTCTTGAAAATAGTTAAAATTGAAATCAAAGTACTTTTTGTATGGGCAACGGCTAAATGGTACAGTATTGTCAAAATATTATACACTCTATAACAAAAAAAAATCGAAGCACCAAGAAGGAGTTGTCCGATTGAAGCGAAAATTGGTGGATGGGAAGACAATGTACAGAATACAAAATGATCAAAATTTCAGAAAAATTGAATAATTTATTGCACAGCTACAGTAACAAGTTCAATAAGGTGTTGACCCGCCTCTAGCCTGGATACAAGCTGCCACACGGCGTGGCATAGACCGAAAAAGCTCCCGGATGGTCTCTTGCAGTATTTCCTGCCAAATTCGATCCAATTGTCGGACGAGGTCATCAACATTCCGTGCCAGATGCAATCGCCTTCCCATCATATCCCAGACATGCTCGATGGGAGAAAGATCTGGTGATCTGGCAGGCCAAGGAAGAGTTTGGCAAGCTTGCAGACAGTTCATAGCAAAGCATGCCGTATGTGGTCTGGAATTGTCCTGCTGAAAAACCAGCCCAGGGCGCTGCAAAAGGAACGGTAGCAAAACAGGTCTTAGGATGTCGTCGACGTACCGCTGTGCAGTAAGTGTATGACGACCAAAGGGGTCCAGCTGTCAAAGGAAATGACACCCCAGATCATAATGCCTTGTTGAGGGCCGGTGTGGCGTGCAATAGTGAAGGCAGGATCCCCCCTCTGCCCTGTGCGTCTCCAAATACGTCTTCGATGATCGTCAGGACACAGTTGGAAGCGGGATTTGTCGCTAAAGACTATACGTCCCCAGCATATCCCCCCATTTGCATATCTGTTCAAAGCTTTCATGCATACGAAATTTCAAAGCAATCGGATGATTGCTTCTTGGTGCGTCGATTTTTTTGTTATAGAGTGTATTATTGTCAAAAATATTTTTTTCTATTTTATTATTACGTGAACAATTGTGTTAGACCAATAGTCTCCAACCTTCGTGGGCTACGGACTGGTTCCAGTCAGTGGATCAAATGGTACCTTGTACTCCTAGGAACATTAAAGTATTTTCATTTTATTTACTGTTTTGTTTTTCCCTCTGGTTTGTACGGCTTTCCATGAACTAGAGGTTAACCGGGAGCTGAAGGACGTGACCTAAAGCTGCACCAATATCATGTATGTAATTGTATTTTATTTTAAGGACATAATTAAATATGATTAAATTAAAATAATTAAATCCAAACAATCTAAAATATATACCCCCTCCTCCAGTGGCCCGCGATATAATTATTAAACTTTAACCGGCAGCTTTGATAAATAGATTGGGGGAACACAGTGTTAAATGATGGTGAAATAATTCCTCAAAAAAAAGGGTCAACTTAATTTTAAATTTTTTTTTTCAAGGATATAAAACAGTGACAATGAGGCTTATTGTTTTTTTTTATAAAGAATTTAACTCAACTTGATGGATAAAAAAAAATGCGTAAAAATTAATTTCTTCCTTCAAACGAAAATTTCATAATTGTTTTCCACAATACGTTAAATAAAGTGTGGATTACTCTTCTTGAAGAAGAGCCCTTCGAAAGCCCTCATTCAAAATTCGTCAGACGATGGTGAGATAATTCCTCAAAGAAAAGGGTCAACTTAATTTTAAAAATTTTTTTCCCAACGATATAAAACATTGATAATGAGGCTTATCGTTTGTTTTATAAGGAACTCTTTTACTCAACTTGGTTTATTAAAAATGCATAAAAATGTTCTTCCTTCATATAAAAATTTCAGGAATATTTTTTTTCTTCCACTATACGTTAAAATGCGGATTACTCTTTTTGAAGAAAAGTACTTTGTTAGTCCTCATTCAAAATTTCCTCTCCAAGAGTTCATTTTAGAACAAGTTTTAACTAAAAACAAAGTTATAAAATCTCTTAAAGATTTTACAATTTAAATCAAATCTAGAAGTGTGTCCTACTTTAGATATCAGATAAAATCATTTTGTCAAGACGCACGCACAACAAATATAACGAGGAATATATTCTTTTTTAAAAAAGAGCAAATTTTGGGGCGTTTTAAGTCGTTAGAGAGTCACTTTGAGAAAATCGTCGGCGATTGGGGAGGTGTTCGACCGAGCGTACCTAATGACTTAAACAAACCACAAAATTCTTTTTTTGTCCGTTCTTTCTTTCGATACTGTTTTGTTTCTTACAACGAGGTCAAACGATTTTCTTTTCAATGTCTAGGTTGAAAGTTCTTTTTTAGGGCAATTCGTATCTTATTAGAGAGAGTTAGAAAGGTGTTACAAGATATGGACTTAGAGATAACACAATAATGGAGCATTTTTTATTGAAGTTGTCTTGGCACTTTAAAGAGTCTTCTTTTGACAGAAAAGGGATTCTATTTCCTCCATGTTATACTTAGTCTGGAATTGCATTTTCTTTGAGGGCCGTAGATCAGAACGAATTGCTCTTTTCCGGGTTTTTAAAAGCTAGATTTTATTGTTAACCATGATGGTTATTATTTATATAAATGTATTATAATAACTTTAAAAATTGATTTATTAGATATGATGAATGTTTTGAATGCTTGATAGAACTATAATTAACGAACACGGGAAATTGCAATGTCAAGGTCGAAAGCTCTTTTTGGCTCAATTTATATCTTAATAGAGTAGAAAAATGAAAATGCTTTGTATCGCTTAGTAATGAACTTACAGATAACACAAAAAAATGGATAATTTTAATGAACATGTTTTCGCCCTTTTTAATAAAGAAAGATGATTCTCCATACATTATAATCCATGGAGAATCATATGATAACTATATTCTATTAACAAGACTGTAGGTTCTGAAAAATTAGCTGGAATGCATTAGTTGAATAATAAGTCCTATTGTGTAACTGTATGGTAAGATCCTTTTGCCAAAGATGTATTTTATTCTTTAAATGTTTTGAATTAAAAGAATAAAATGAGTAAAAGAACACAAGAAATTACAATTTTAGGGTAGAAAGTTATTTCTTAGAGGAATTTGAATCTTGTTAGAAGAAAAAAAATTCTTTGTATAATAAGATATGGACCTTTAAGATAACAAAATAATAGAGTACTTTTTTTATTGAAGTTGTCTAAGCATTTTAAAGGGGGTTTTCTACAGATAGAAGAGGGATTCTATTTCCTCCATATTAGTCTATGTAGAGTCTTTGATAGCAATTTCCTAAGCAGATTAGAACGAATTGCTATGTTCTGATTTTAAAAAGCTAGATCTTATTGTTAAAAAATGCCAGGAGGATTTTTTTTAGGTAAATGCATTATAATTATTCTCAGATTATATTTATTAGATTTGAATGTTTTCAATACTTGATTAAACTATTTTTAAAGAACAAGGGAATTTGCAGTATCAATTTTTAAAGTTTTTCATGACAATTTATATCTCACTAATGTAGAAAAATGAATATACTTTGCATCACAGGTATGGATTTACAGAAAACACAAAAATAATCGACTATTTTAATGAACATGTATTGGCCCTTTTTTAATATAGATAAAGGATTTTACTCTTTCTATTATAATCCATGGATAATCACATGTCAACAAGTTCCTTATTTATTAACAAGACTGGCGGCCCTGAAAAATTCGCTGGAATGCATGAATACATTAGTTAAATGTTAGGTCTTATTGTGCTATTGTATGGCAAGCTCCTATGGTCCAAAGATATATATTCTTCCTTAAATTCTTTACAATAAAATAATTTAATGATAAAATAATTTAATGATAAAAGAGTACAAGAAATTACAATTTTAGCGTTGAAAGTTCTTTGTTAGAGGAGTTAGAATCTTGTGAGAAGAAAAATTCTTTGTATAATAAAACATAGGCCAACGAGAAAACAAAATAATGGGGCATTTTTATTGAAGTTTGGCATTTTAAGGGTCTTCAGGTAGAAAAGAGATTCTATTTTCTCCTCTTTAATCTATGTAGAGTCTAGGATAGCGATTTCCTAAGCAGGCCGTAGATCAGAACAAATCGCCGTGTTTCGGTTTCTTAATAGCTAGGTCTTATAGTTAAAAAAAATGCCAGGATGATTATT